CACATGTGACAAATGATATTGTTATATTTCCCTTCAATTGTTCCATTTTTGCATCGGAATATCCTTCGGGACATTTGTTCAGGCACAGCTTTGGTGCCAGATCTTTCAAACCCTCCAGTTTGTTGCGTGAGACTGCAAGAGACATGCCACCCAATCAGTTGAATCCGCGCCACACCACCCCAGCGGATCGCAGTCTTTGAGGCCCGCCCAGCGCACCTTCTCTGATCAGCTCTTCCGTGCGCGCATCGCGGCACACCCGGTCATCGTCGCTTGGGTTTTCAACGCCGGTGGAGCAAACGCTGGCGAATGCCGAAGTGTCTGCACGAGACGAGGATTCGATCCTGGGAAGGAGAACTGGAAAAAATATTTATATATATTATGTATATGGAAGGTTTCCTGGTTTTGCTGAATCTTCTGAAGTGATGGTTTATTTTCCTTCTGGGTACCATCTCCGTCTTTCGGAATATATATTCAGCCGATGTTTTTTTCCAGTCCGGTGCCTGGACGACGGTTCCTGGACGGCTCGCAGGGGGGCTTGAAAAAGAGGACGCAATACACGCAATACATATCTGGACCTTCAAGGGGGTGTCCTGGTTGGAGGTCCCTTGGTGGTGTAGGGGCTTCCATTGGCGACCCCTTTGAAGGTGCTGGTAGAATGTCTCGACCAGGAGTTTTAAGAGGTGGGTGCTCTCGGAGGTGCCCAGAGATGCTCCCGGAGCACCTCCACGCCACCGCCGGGGACACGCCAGCGGTCCTGAGGTGCTGCCAACGATCCATCGTCTTCCGGAGATGGGCATCCCACAGGTGGCGCGCGTCGGATGCGTCGGTTGTGTGCGTCGCGGATCGTCTGGGTTTTTGAAGAAATCCTATGTTTTTGGTGTGATTTTGAGGTCGATGTTTCCAGGGTGAAACAATGTGAAACATGGATTTCGATCATATTGGATTAAAGGTACTATTGTGTATGGATTAAGGACTTGAAGAAAGATGTGAATTTCCAGGTTGGGACGCTTCGTTGGATTCGATTGTGTTTTTGAGATCTTGCAAGGGGGCGACATCGAACATCATCGTTGAGGTTGGCCAATAGCTGTCACGAAGCAACATGATCAAGGTGGTTCACTTGCCGCGCGTTGCGGCACCTTGGATGATCAAAAAGAGGTGAATGAAAGAGGTGTCAATGAATTGTTTAGTTTGTGATACCCAGTTGACTGGTGCTCACCGCACAGAGGCTTTCAGTGTGTTTTTTGGGGAGCTGGTGAACTGCATTCGGAACACTTCTTTGCTCGACCATATGGTGATCGCAGCCTGCAGGGACCTCATCTATTTGCCCTTGCCCTTGCCTTGTCACTTTGAAGCCCTCACAGATGTTTCTCTCTCCGAGTTCTGCAGACCACAGATCTCAGACCTGACCGTGTCACACGGAACCCGTCTCTCGGCTCGCTGGGTTGGGATTTTCGCGTGCGAGAGACGATGGTCTCAGTACTCTGGGGGTGCCCCATCTCCTCAGGTTTGGTGAGGTTAGACCCCCCTAGCACACCACCCACCCCCCAGGTCCCGAACCAAGTTCACACGGTCCAGGCCCAAGTTCACGGAGCCTCGACCGAGGTGTGTGTTTTGGGTCGCTCCAATGTGGGAAAGCCACTGGGCCTTTGGGGCGCGAGCGCATGCCATCCTGGGGACCAGCGCATGCCGTCATCCATGCGCGTGAGTTTGAGGCCGTCATCATCCGTCATCCATGCGTGAGTTTGAGGCCGTTCAAGAAATCTACACGATGCCACACGCATCGAAACCCAGAGAACCCATGGGACAGGAAGATGTTGCTTTAAGGAAATCCATGGGTTCTCTTCCGGGTCCGACCGAATCGGACTTTTTCAGATTTACATGTCTTTGCCTAGTATACACCCAGACACGACCCGTCTGGGACTGGTATATTTACCGATCAATTGGACTGGGCCATTTTCGGGGTCTTTCTGGGGCGGCAGTCCTATGGCAGTCCCATGGGTCGTGTCTGGGACATTTGGCATCACTTGGTCGAAGTTTTTGGGTCAACTGATCGATCAATCGTTGGTGGAGGTCCGTCCGGCTGCGCGGTGCTTGGACCTGTACGTATCGGTGTCGGGTCCTTTCCCGGGCGGTGCCGGTGCCCGTGCCATTCCGGAGGTCCAGTCCTGTAGCTACAGAGGTTAAGTGACCTTATAGATCTTATAGGACCCGTCACCAGGGGTACCTATAGGATAGTCTATAGGGTTCTTCATCCTCTGCTGGTAAGTCGGTTGTTCTGAGTCCAGGGTGTGAGTCAAGCTTTGTGAGGCAGGGTGGAGGAGAAGAAAGGTCGAGGATTCAGAAAGGCCTCGTGTCTTTTTGAGACTGCAGCTGGTGGGGTGACTGTATGTGGATCAATGAATTTAGGAAGCAAAGACAGATCAGACATGGATTGGATGGTAGTGACGGATGGTAGTGACGGTGCTCCACTTTGACTAATTGGACATGGCTTCAGATATGTCTTGCATCCACATGTCAACGGAAAGGTGGTCGAAGGTGGCAACTCTTGTGCCAGGTGAACCTGCTCGGCTCCGCATGTCACTCGAAGACGGAGTACCGAACGTACAGATCATTGGGAATGACTGCCCTTTCAACCTAATAGCGATGGCCTCCAAAAAAAACGAGCGATGGCCTGCAACCGAATAGCGAGGGTATTTGTTTCTTGAATTGTAATCTCTTCTGTCAGACAGTGACCATTGAAGTCTTCCAAACGTTCATGGTTCACACGCCGCCCGTTCAGAACAAGATGGGCCCGCGTTCGAACAACGCTACTATATCATACTGTAGACTGTAGACCTACATTACCCAGACACTCCATGTATGCCATATATGCCTACATTGACCCCCAAAACCACCCCAATGTAGGTAAATATACCATACATGGAGTGTCTGGGTTATATGATACAATTTTGCGTGGAGCCGCCAACGTGGGTGAAAGCCAACTGGGTCGCTGGAACGGTCTTCTCAACACCCCGAGACCCAGGAGCCTACCATGTGATGAACACTTGTCCGTAGCCTACCATGTTTTTGTCAGTTTCAGGTTCAAGAGTTAAGACGGATAGACTTATCCCTGGGGCTCCAACTACCTTCCTTTTGAAGGTGATCGGGGTGGTGGCCAACGGGGGTTTGTCCCCTACCTTCAGAGGATATGGGCCCAGGAACCCTAAGGTACAGTCAAATTGAGAAACCTGTTCATCAAATGTTCCATCCTCATTCAGGTCATCCTTGATCAACGCGCTGGTGCATGGCAAGGATGTGTGGGTGTGTGGGCCAGGTATCCAAAGGGTGACTCAGCATTGTGAGCCTAAGTTTGTGAACTGCTTTAAACCTGATTCAGCAGCATACACTTCATGTTGACATCGAGCTATGGTATCAGTGGAAAGTTTCACATTTGTAAGACAATCAAATATCCAATTCTTTAGGATGCTCTTTTGGGTGCATGTAGAGATTCATTCATCAAACTGAGTTGCTTTACCAGGTGCTCAGCCTTATTTGCCATATACAAGGATAGCAATGTTCATCGAGGTTCATGGCATGGTGACTGGGCACTGGAGAAAACCCAAGGGACAGACCTTAACTGTCCATCATTGTTTGTAGAGTCAGGTAGGAGTAAAACATAGTAAAACAGTCATTCTGGCCAATCATTTGTGCGGCTGCGCCCGTGCCCTCTTTCAAGCCGTTTCAAGCTGGCCGTTGTCAGGAGGTTATGCCAGACACGTGCCTCCCAACCCATCCTTGTGTGGTCCTTGCGCGGAAAAGGGTTTCTTCTTATGGTCATCCCGGAGTCATCCCCTTGACCCTTGTCCTTCATAAGTAGCTGGGTTTTCACTCCACTCAACCATGATTTCAGCGTAGGATGTTCTTCCTCATTTTGTCTCACCGGATCTGAGCGTCCAAACTGGGTGCCTCATCCGTTCGTTAGGTGCACCGCGGGGCGATGCCGCGCCAGGAGATTGCGCGACCCTCGGAGCTGCCAGGGCGAACCAGGCACGTGTTTCGCACAGCGGAACGTAGATGTGGGAAGTGGGAAGCTCTTTCAATACTTATCAGTGAGACTAGGTGGTGAATTGGATCGGCCCGGATTTTGTATTGGTTTTACTGCATGCCCAAATTGGATTGAACATGATATACTATACTGATATACATTTGATATACTATGTATTGACATGTGAGGAGAACTACATTGGATGCTTATGTGATGATATGAGGAACATGATATGAGAACTACATTAGAATTATATTTGAGGAACATGATATGCTTATAATGATGATATGTATTAACATGTGAGGAGACGATCAGATGTGAAGATGTCATCAGCAGCGGTATGTGAGACGAGACGTGAGACGAGGCCTTTTACCTAAGTTATCTGTGATCATCACTGTCCAATGATGTCCATACCAGTTCCCAGCCCCTACCCATCATCTCTGGCTTCCAGGCTTCCAAACCGATGGGCCTATGGGGTCCCTGCTTGGGGAGACGTGATAGTAGCAGGGGTTTCCCTGCCGGGTTTGGTCCACCTCACGTTCGGGTTGCGATCCATGGAGCTTCGGAGCTACTCCAGCTACTCCACGGGGATAGCAAGGAAGGGACGAGCCACACCACCCCAACTCGCTCATGTGACTCCTGGATGTTGTTTCTTTTCCGGTGCCAAAACTCGAGAATTTCGCGGAGTGTGAAGATCCCTGGGGGTTTGTGCAGCTATTAACTGGTTTTTGAATCGAGTGTGGTTCATTTTTGGGGGGATGAACCATTGAGCAAGCGCAATTCAAGTCAGTTGAAGATTGTAACATATACCAGCCAGCTGCAAAAAAAATCAGGTGAGCTCAAGTGACAAACCCTGATGACGGCGGTCAATATACCAGCCAACGTCAATTGATGACTTACCCTATGGATCCACATACCTTCTGAGGTACAGTGATTGGAGACTATTTATGTAGGCGCCAGGAGACCCAGATACCTTCTGAGAAGGTATGTGGATTATTAGGGTTAGTGGTTTACCATGACGGCGGTGCTGCGTTTGCTCTACCCCTAAGGCCCAAGACCTCAAGGAATCACTTCTCCCCCAAGCCACGAGGGAGGAATCAGCAAACCGGAGAAATCTTCAAGCAACGGTTGCCCGAATGATATGGTATCATCTATGGGTCATTTCTTTGTGTCCAACGATTATTGCATTTCCCTTGAAGGTGGAGTTGTGTCAACCATTCCGAGGTGTTGGAGCCATTTGTGTCGCGGGTATTCATCCAATTCCGCAGACTGAAGTAGGGAGAATGAGTACTCCTCTTTGACGGTGATTGTCCCAGCTTCTGTTTTCCAATGAGCAAAACCCATGACCTCCACGAGTTCAAAAGACTCAAGGAAGTGGAAGACCACCTGTTTTGGTATTCGGAAACAGGTTTTTTCAGGGCTCCTTCTTCACTGCCATGTCAATTTCTAGGAGTATGGGATGTTCTGTTCTTTTCCGAGGTCATCCCGTCGGACGCTCTGCTTTGCCGGCCCTTCGGCCTTTCGGCTGTGGCAGTTGACATGGAACGTGTTGAAGACATCAGAGCTGCAGAAGACTGAACAGACCAAGGAGTCGCATCACTTCCTGTCACAGACCTAGTAAAGTATGTAGCTTTCGAGCATCCATCAAGATAAAGGAAAGTGATCTCGTTTGGGCATACTCACTTGATGAGGCATGCGGCATACTCACAGACATTGCTTCGTTCGCGAAAACGGCCACCCGCTGTGTGCACCTGGCCACCCGCTGTGTGCGGTGTGCCACTGTGCGGCAACGTCACGATGTACCGGAGACTGTGTGCTCGGAAAACTGACGATGAGTCAGCCTCCTACAGTGACCTGGAGAGGATGGTTGGGGTGTTCGGGAAGGAGCTGCCAAGTTGCCAAGAAGCACCCAAGGATTCCTGCACCAGCATTGATTTCATGCTTTTGAACCAAACAACTATAAGTTTACTCAGGACTCGAGGCTACAATGATGCTGACCCTCCTTTCTTTGGTGTCGAATGGAAGGCTGCCCCGACTGGGTAAAGGCAAGAATGACCTGTAGACGGCGGTGTTGAAGATTCAAATGATGAGCGTTGAAGTGGTAGAGATAAAGACCCGACAGCACTCAAGACCCGACAGTTCATTAATGGAATACAGAACATGTATGTGTTTGAAGGTGTTACTTCCAGTGGTTTTCATCTATCATATTCCTTTTGGGTGTATGTATGTATGTATGTATGTGTGTGTGTCCGGTTTCCAACTACACTCATCTACATCCCCAAAAAGCAACATGCCCAGACGCTCCAAACAGCCCTTGGTCCCTCAAAACCATAGGGATTGGTTCGACCCCAGACCCCTCCAGAGGATTCGGGTCCGACCCCTCCAGAGGATTCGGGTCCAGGGTCGCGTCTGGGTGTGTGTTAAACCTCTTGGGTCATGACCGCTTTTGCACCTCTTTGCAGACTCTTTGCATGGATCATGTCAACCCAAAAAGATTCGGTCGGAGATCAATGGCGTGGTGAAGCGACTCCCATTCTGGTCCAGACGATGTAGTATATTGCTTAGGTGGTGGAACGTTTCAGTTTTGGTCTTGAAGCATGTAGGGTTTGGTAAATAATACCTTGTTGACCCTTCTAGCAAGCCAAGGCTCCTATGGGGTTTCCCAGCGATGCCCAGCTCTCTTCGCCCACAGGTAGCTTCACTGGACAGGTCATCGTTGTAGACCTGTCCGAGCTGGATAGCAAGTCCAGTGAAGACTTTCAGGGCTCCAAATGGCTGGAGAACAAGAGCCTTGTCTCGCATTGGTTCGACGTCGAGTCGAAGCACTTGAATCGGCGCACACACCAGATCGATTCATCGAAGGAGCAGGAAGGAATGGCCCGGCCATGCCAAAGGTCTCAAGAAACACGACAACAAACCAAGACACAAGTCACAATACCTCGTTATTCTTCGTTCGTCCGATGTTGTTTTGGTACAGTTCGACGACTTTTTTGCAAACCGCCTAGAAACAAGCAGTCGACCCAGACACTGCGACTGCGACCGCCCGAACGTCCGGTCCCTCTTTCACCTGATTTCAGACCCATTTCGGCCACTTCTTCCCCCCCCCCAAAAAAATAAGCGTCTGGGTTCAGCGCATTGGCCAAAAGAACAAAAAGCATCAGCAAGTCGGCATGTTTCTTCAGATCACCTCTTGTGATTTCTTTTGTCTATATTAAGTCCCTAAAACAGAATTTAAAAAAATGTGTGGATGCTGGTTTGTGGCATTGGCAATGTAGTAGGTAATCTCTTGCATACATGGAGTGTGCGGGAATACTCTATTGCATTCAAAGTTCAATTCATTTGATGAAAAGAGTTCTTGAAACAAGTGACATCATGTCATCTTTCAACCTGAGAACTATATAGTTATACGTAGGGTCTGTCCTATTGCCTGTAACAGTCAGTAAACAAGCAAATTATCATTTTTGAACAAGGCCTGCAACATAACCATCATCATCCACTGTTACAGGTAATAGGATAGATCCAAGTTATACGCTATATATCAATATATCATTGCTTTGTGTAACAAATTCCTAGCTGCTGCTCGTGCTTTTTGGTCGCTATGACCACGTAACCCACCCAACCCACCCAACCCACGCCAAGAACGCCTCCAGCCTCGCCTCGCCTCCACCGGGCGAGACGCGAGGAGCCGGAACCGACAGCCGGTGGGCTTTGATCTCGAGTGGCCCCCCGACCGGATGAAGGCCCGGCCCGGCCCGGACTGGACGACCGGACTGCGGTACCGGACAACGGACCGAAGCTGACCGCCCCGAGTTACACACGGCGTGGAGGAGGGTCCGACGCGTCAGGGGTTTTTTGGGACGCGAATTCTCGGAAGATCGGTGGATGGGAGAAAAGGAGGACGTCATTGATTCATGAGCGGCGCGGAAGGGCTGGGGGCGTTGCCTGCGGTGGAACCGAGCGGTTTTGCTTGAAGAAAATGAGAGAGAGAGAGAGTGTGGAAGGAGAAGGGAGAGGTCGGAATCTGTGGTACTTAGACCAGGCACATTATGTGTGACACAGAGAACCGCAGAGAATTACCTAGGAGCCTCATGAGTCCTTCTTGACCGACTCCCACTTGTGCTTGGAGAAAACTGTCCCAAATGGAACGAACCACGTTCCAGAATCATGTTTGTTCATTGAAATCATTGAAGGGACCTCACCTCAATTCGACAATTCCGCTCACCCAGATCACAGCAATTCAATCCATGGTACCCTTGAAAAGTGATATTTGTTCACATATTTTCACTCAAAATTGACATTGAAACGATCCATCTTTGAGGAAGTGGGGTGATAAAGGCACTCGGGAGTGAGAATAGTTGCTCCAGAATGGGTTTTGTTGCTCTGCAACGTGTCTTGAACGCAAAGCGAACCTTAATTGAACACAAATTGAACGCAATTACGGTTGGACTGTTTTTTCCACTCCGGAGTGCTTTTTGTCACGACTTTCCAAAAGATGGATGATTTCAACATCGACACGTGATAATTCTCACTTCAGGATGATCCAGGATTCGACCATTCCGCGCTTCGTTTTGGTTCGACTTCCGCGGACCGATTTCGATCCCTAAGGATTCCAACAACCCCATCGCCCTCATGCAATTCTCCGACGACGAGACGGCCCTGCTCGTTCGCACGCACCGCACGGTGCGGGTGCCTCAGTCCGGTGACGAGGTCGACCTCGCCAACGCATAGGTCGAGTTACCTACACCCAGACACGACCCGTCTGGGACTGGTTTCCTTGTCCGATCTACATTGGTGTGGGCCATTTTCGGAGTCTTTCTTTCTAGCGGCAGTCCGTCCTGGCAGTCCCGTCGACGGGTCGCGTCTGGGAATGTCATGTCAGCCTCAAAGATGTTCTGATATTAGCACGGAGAGTGCACAGGTTTTTCAGAGTCTGACCATTTGCGGAGGCAGAGTGGAGCCTCTGGTCTCTTCTTATCCCTGCTAGCATCCAAAACAAACCTCC